TTGTGCATTCTGTGGTAACTTTTAAAGGCCTAGTAGACACTGGAGCTGATCTCTGTCTAATGCGTCGACGTGTTTTCCTGAAACTGGGTAATGAGATGCTGACAGGAAAAGGAAAACGTTTGACAGGAATATGAGAAAGCCTGGTACTGACTTTTGGGAGCTTTACCATACCAGTGAACATTGACGGAATCCCAATGAAAGTCGAATTCCACGTAGTACCTGACGAGGACATGGGTTTTGACGCAATTCTAGGCAGAACGATTTTAGATACAGTCGATATGAATGTGACTAAAGGCGGGACTGAGCTCGTACTGAGGACTGAAATGAAAAGCCAGAATAAATACCAGATAGAGGACAGTTCATGTAGCGATTTACTGGCAGAGTTCAAGAACATGTGTTCCGAACAGTTGCATGTGTGCTCTAAGGTAGACTTGTCTCATTTAGGCCAATTGGAGCAGTCGGAGGTGAAGAAGTTAGTAGAAGATTACGCACCCATTCGCAACGCTAATGCGCCAGTGGAGATGAAAATCATCATGAGAGATGAGGTTCCAGTATACCAACATCCACGTCGTTTCCCAGTTTGTGAGCAGCAAACGATAGACGAACAAGTTAAGGAGTGGCTAGTGGAGAAAATCATACAGCCGAGTACCTCGGATTATGCATCTCCAGTTGTTTTGGTAGCGAAGAAAAATGGAAAGAAACGCCTGTGCTGCGACTATCGAAAACTGAATGAGAAGATAATAAGAGACAATTTTCCAATGGCTCATATGGAGAGTGTGCTAGACAAGCTTCAGGGTTCCATGGTATTCACGACATTGGATTTAAAAGACGGCTTCTTTCATGTTCCAGTTGAAGCAGGGTCTCGAAAATATACTTCATTTGTTACGCAAAGTGGGCAGTATGAGTTCTTATATGTTCCATTCGGCATATCGAATTCCCCCTCCATTTTCACCAGGTTTATAATGTCAGTTCTTAGGGAGCTTGTAGAAAGCAACGTTGTCGTAGTTTATATGGATGATGTCATAATACTAAGCCAAGATAATCAAGAAGGGTTTCGGAAATTAAAAATGGTATTAGAGGTAGCTGCGGAAAATGTTTTGCGTATCAATTGGGGAAAATGCCAAATATTGCAGAGGAAAGTAAGTTTTCTGGGATACATTATTCAGGATGGAACAATAACACCAGGAGCAGAGAAGATTCAGTCTGTGAAAGAATTTCCAATACCACGAGATAAGAAAGGTATCCAAAGATTTTTAGGTTCGACTTCATATTTTAGAAAATTCATAAACGGATACGCTACAGTCGCCAGGCCTTTATCGGATTTACTGAGAAATGAGTCAAAGTACGAGTTTGGAGAAAAACAACAAGTGGCTTTCGAAAAGCTTAAGTTGGCATTGATTAGCGAGCCAGTATTGAAACTTTACGATCCAAATTTGGCAACCGAAATCCACACTGACGCATCCAAGTATGGATTTGGAGCTGTCTTATTGCAAAAGGATCCTGTAGACAGTATGTTTCACCCTGCTCAATATATGAGCCGCAAAACAACACCGTTTGAGGAAAAATACGACTCTTATGAGCTAGAAGTATTGGCGATCATAGGAGCTCTAGTTAAGTGGCGAGTTTATCTGTTAGGTCTTAATTTTACCATCGTAACGGACTGTAATGCTTTTAAAATGACCATGAATAAAAAGGAAGTTCCACTCAGAGTAGCTCGTTGGGCATTATATTTGCAAGACTTCAATTATAAGATAGAGCACCGTTCGGGGTTGAAAATGAAGCATGCCGATGCGCTAAGTCGAATCTCTTGTAACTTTTTTACAGATGCATTAGCACATCGTTTAAAGGTAGCTCAATTGAATGACGATTGGATAAAGGCAGTTAGGAGCCTAGTAAGGAATGAAGGCTATGAAGATTTTTATATTCACAACGATATTCTTTTGAAGGATCAAAATCGGGAACTAGTTTTTGTGCCATCAGTAATGGAGAACCAAATCATTTCGAATGCGCATAGTCAAGGGCACTTTTCAACTAAGAAGACGATAGATTTAATAGAAAAGTCATACTTTATTCCGAAGCTAAAAGATAAGGTCGAACGAATCGTTGAAGGGTTTCTGACATCTATAGACAAGGGGAACATGCCATTTGTAACCTACCATGTCGATCATGTCGGACCCATGGAACTAACTAATAAGCGTTATAACCACATATTAGTTGTAGTTGACGGATTTTCTAAATATGTTTGGCTCTACCCAACTCGTAGCACTGGGGTAGATGAGGTCTTGAACAGTTTGGAGAAACAAGCGGTAAACTTTGGAAATCCTCACCGTATTGTTTCAGATAGGGGCACTGCGTTTACGTCACACGCATTTAGAGAGTACTGCGAATCGAACAATATTCAACACCTACTGATTGCAACCGGTGTGCCACGCGGGAACGGACAGGTTGAGAGGCTGCATAAGCTGGTTGTACCCATGTTGTCAAAGCTTAGTTATGACAGTCCAGCTGCCTGGTATAAGTACGTAGGGAAAGTCCAGCAGATCATTAATAGTACTGAGCCTAGAAGCACCAAAGTTACTCCATTCAAGCTATTAACAGGAGTGGATATGCGTTTAGCTGATAGCAGTGAGCTAAGGGAGTTAATCAACGATTTTGTCATAAAGGAGTTAGAACAAGAGCGTGAACAGATCCGTAATGAAGCCCGACAAAACATTGAGAAACTGCAAGGAGAAAATAAAAGAGCTTTTGACTTGAAACGTAAGAAAGAAAAAGAGTATAAAGTGAACGATTTAGTTGCCATTAAGAGAACCCAATATGGAGTGGGCCTAAAGCTTAAAGGGAAATACTTAGGACCGTATAAAGTGGTTGCTGCTAAGGAACATGGGCGCTATGAAGTAGAGAGAGTTGGAGATACGGAGGGTCCTTTTAGAACGTCGACGGTGTCCGAGTACATGAAGCCATGGCCAGGTCCATTCGAGGCGAATGTTCCGTCAGGAGGGCCGATTGTGGGATTTGAACCTGGCGGGCAATCACAAAAGGGGCACACTAGAAGTGGTGCTAGTTATACGGCAACCCTCTGATCACCGGTCGATAGCCATGAATCGATAACCTACCCGAGCGTCGTTGTGAGCGGGGTCGTTCGTATCGTGTGGTTAAGAAAAGAAGTAAAAATAAAGTGGTCCACAAGAAATACTTTTACGAGAACTAATTTAAGCACAAACTGTATCACGTTTAAAACCTATCCTAAATACATTAAATAAAGACTGGAATACTTTAATTTTCCTACACAAATCTTTACAGATGGCTCAAAACTGGACAATAAGGTTGGAGGGGGAATCTACTCCGAACAGCTAAACATAAGACACTCTTTCAGGCTTCCAGAACACTGCAGTGTCTTCCAAGCGGAAGTAATAGCGATCAACCTTGGGGTGGCTTTGTAAAATTGCCACTACGGCATCTCATTTAAACATTTATAGTGACAGCCAAACTGCGATCAAATCGCTAAATGCGATAACATCGAGCTCGGCTACCGTGACAAACTGTCGCAAATCTCTACATGAGATGGCTCATCAGTTTGTTATCAGCCTAATATGGGTCCCTGGCCACCAGGACATTTGGGGCAACTGCATAGCAGATGAGCTGGCCAGAGCTGGTACAACAATCCCCCTTCTCCATGATAAGGAGGATATTCGTATGCCAATGGCCACCTCCAAGCTCAAAATAAAAGAACATTTTAAGCGATTAATAAATGACAGATGGCAAACTGTGCCACTATGTCGCATAACTCGGCAAACATGGCCTAACATTATTAGGAAGCGCACCGATGAGCTTTGCAAACTCAGTAGGAGTAGGAGCAGCTAAGTCATACGCTCCCTCACAGGACATTGGCTAATAGGCACCCATGCTAACAGGATGGGTGCCCCCTACAACGACTTCTGTAGTAGCTGTAGAGATGAGGACGAGGAAGAAACGGTGGAACACCTATTCTGCTCCTGTCCGGCTCTCAGTAGAAGGAGGCTACAAAACCTGGGAATGCCTTTCATGAACGACGTATCGGACATGTCTAATTTGAGTCCAAGAAGGATCGCAAACTTCATAAGGGCATCCGGATGGGACAACTGCTGACATAGTGTCTCACAAGGGAAGAGGACATGATCCACGCGGCATCACAACGGGCCGTAACCGGCCCAAGTGTGTCGTGTTCCTGGCGATCCCGTCAACCGCCTCAACCTAACCTAACCTAACCTGTGTACACTTTTTTTATTCAAAGCGTTCATAAAATATTTTTTAATTTTGCCATCTCTTTTCGGCCCCACTGTAAATACAAACAATACAAACAAATAACAACTTTAAATTTTAAAGTTTAAAACCAAAATCGACCTATTCAGGGCCAGATCAACCTTCAACCGGGCCCTGGGCAACCATCAATCTGGGGCCCTCCATTTTTTCATGCCAGTTCCTTCCTTTTTTCATATGAAATAAAAACTTATAAATTTAATGTTTGTTTAATTAATTTGTATGCCACTGATAATGGCTATTATATTTTTTATCCATTATTTGGAGTTTTGTTTTTTCAACAAATTTTTTCTGTTAGCCCTAGAGAGGCCGTCGGCAACTGCTAATGCGGCCCTGGACCTATTCCCGTCGTCAAATTTCAAAAATGAAAATGTATCCAAAAAATGTATATTTGGCAAAGCCTTCGAGATTTTAATAGTTGTTTTAATTATGAGCCAGACTACAATATGCTGGCTCAAGTTATTAAAGAAGAAACGGAGGACGGTTTATAATATAATTTTTAAGTTGTAAGAGAGACTATACCTTTAAGTTTGTAATGTTATTTAAATAATGGAAACACTAGATCAAATCATAAATATGTTTTTTAATAATCTGAATTATATATTTTATTCATTTAAACCACTTGAAATCAATGTTTTAAATTTATGGTATTCAAAATCGTATTTCTCGAAATTAAAATGGTATTTATTTTTTGGCCGGAAGGTATTTTTATCGTTATCGGCGCGGTCACGCTGTCTCCATCCCTAGTCAAATATTGGGATGTACTTACCACAAATGCAAGTTTTTCGCTTAATACAATTTTATCAACACATAATTTAACGGTAGTATTAAAAAGAACAGCTCCGGTATAAATTATTACATCATACAATTAAATCGATACATAAATATTTAATTTAAATTTAACTATTCCTTAGTCGTCTAATTAATGTGTTTAAATGTGTGAGTTAAGTGGTATTTTACAAATATTAAAAGACAATATGGTAAGTAATCAATTTACTATTGAGTTTGCCTATTTGATTATCTACATAAGTGCATGCCTTTATTTATTTTGTATGTATATATGTATTTATAAACATACTATGTGTATCCCAAATTGTTAAATTAGAAAATACGAATTCAAGAAAAGTACATAGCACTGATTTTGTATAAGATAAGAGAAAGGTTTAGGAATATGGTTAAAGTACATACTTAAATATATTTTCAGTATTTAACATACATACATATGTTGAATAGAACGCATTCAAGACAATCGATTTTTTTGTTTGAATGTACATATATGTATGCATATGAATGGCTATGTACATATGTATGTATTTACAACAGTATATTTTAAATGCAAGTTCAATCAATAAAGCACAATATAAAAAACTAGAACAAATAAAAATATATGATGGTAAGATTATTCAGTACATAAATAAATTATTTGTTCTTATATTACATATGTATGTACATACAAATTTTTTTACTAAGTAAATATGTTTCAAATTCAATTCAAACAATAATATTCGAATCTACATTCAAAGTTTTTACATCAAAACTGCTTGAGAAGTTACAAACTAGGCCGAGTTAAGTCTGGGCTTGGTTAATAAACTTACAGCAAGAATTTTCCTTCCATAATACAAAAATTACCGATATCATAATACAAAAATCGCAGGACAGCTCAGTCGGCACAAACATAGTGTAAAAACTTCGCGTGACTTAATTTTTCTCCTCGGCTGCGAAGTATATGACTTTTTTCTGCGCAAAATTAAATTCTAAACTGCAAAAAAAGCTCAATATACTGTGCCGAGATTTGTATACCTATACTAAAAGAGTTAAGGGGTATATTGTATTTGTGGTAAAAGTGGATGTGTGTAACGCAGAGAAGGAAGCGTTTCTGACCCGATAAAGTATAAATAATATTGACCAGAATTAAAAGGTGAGTCTCTGTCTGTTTGTCCGTCCGTCTGTCTTTTTTGACGCCCAGTTCTCAAAAACTTTAAGAGCTAGTACAACCAAATATTGTTTCCAAACTCGTGTGATATCACACTGTTACATGTGTATTTCAAAATTTCCACAATCCACAATTTTTAAGATACGTTAGAAGCAGTATCGTAGGAAATGATCATATCTACCAGATTGCTGAATATGGCTCTAAAAGGATCATATAGTCAGAATAAAAAAATGTATCTAGTTGCTAACCCTCCTCCTTCCAGCGCTGCAGCGATTACTCACTATCTATCTCGCTAACACACTCTGCCTGGGGTAATGCGGTATCTGGCGGAGGTGCAAGAAGAGAGATGTAGATGACAGATGTAGCAAAAAAATGAAAACGGATAAAATATTTTAAAATTCCACACAAATCATACATACATGCATACATATATACTATATACTGAGTACCGGGTATCAAAGTAAAAGCCTTTTTACACTGGGAGCGTTTGCTATCGATATCGGAATAGACGCAATGAAGCCGAAAAAAAGGCGTTTACATTGGCAGACGTGCGTCTTGAATTTTGATTTGGGTGAAAAACGGCGTCTCCGGCAAGACGCAAAAAATCATGACGCAGCCCCAATGCCTATAAATGTACCACAGTATTTACCGCGACTCACGTTTCCTCTCGTTTGAAATATGGGTGGCGGTGGGTAAAGTTTGATTTGTCAATACATGTATTTTAAGTCAATGCGCTTTGGTTTTTATTGAAGGACACAATAATATTATTATTCCCGTTACAAGGATCTTGTAGAAGACGGACTGAAAATAATCGTATTTTAATGTTTCCTCTAATATTTTTTATTCTGTTTGCCTCAAAACATCTTGCATTTAAATTCATATCTTTCAGTGTAAGAAACGGAGCCAAACAGTTCGTTCCTGATGTCTGAGCGCACCAACGCTCTAAAAACTAGAAGGAAAGCTGTGAGTCGCTGCTGTGGCTGCGACTACTTTTATACCTGTACTCAGTTAATATATACATACACATAAACATATGTATGTACATATGTGAGCTAATATATTTATACATTAAGATATTTTATCAGTTTAAATCTACAAATAAAATGTTTATTATGCATCCTAAATGTACACTACTGGTCAAAAAAAATAAGTACATGCTCATGAGCTTTCTTTCACGTCTCGTAAAACTTTTTTAAAAAACAAAGAAAAAATCCACTTAACTTTTAGATTACTAACCTACAGAAGAATATAAAAAAGATTGAACATAAGCAATTTTCCCTTAAAATATATAGTTTCTGATCAATTTTATCTAAAAAACATAAACAAGGGGTGGTCAAAATAATAAGTACAGGAATTCAACAAAGACAAAAACTTAAAGCGTATCTAAATTTTTCAATTTTTTTGTATTATTTATAATCCTATGTTAGTATCCGGTATAGCCACCCTTATTTTGTATCACTTTGGCGATTCTTTTTGGCATACTGGCAATAGGTTTACGGCAAGTCTCCACTGGAATCTCATGCCAGGTTTCCCCATAAGTTTTCAATAGGGTTTAAGTCAGGAGACTGACTTGGCCAATTCATAACGTTGACCTTGTTTTCTGTGAACCAATCCTTGACCAGCTTTGAGGTGTGTTTCGGGTCATTGTCCTGTTGAAACACCCATCTCAAGGGCATGTTTTCCTCAGCATATGGTTGCATAATGTTAGTCAAAATGTTTTTATATCCAAATTTGGTCATAGTATCAGTTATGCGATGTATCGGCCGAACGCCATGCCAAGAAAAACAGACCCAGACCATTATGCAACCGCCTCCGTGCTTAACCATTTTTTTTTGTGTACCGGACGTCCAATCCTTTGCCTTTTGGGCGTCGTACATATCTTCTATAGGGCTGCTCAACCGAAGTCGAGGTTACTCGGAGGCAAGTCTGCCCATTGTGATGCCCACACTCGTCACGGGTGTCCAGTGCCTAGGCAGGTTTCGCGAACCATCCCGAGGCCTCTATAAAGAGCACCAGTTTCTCTAGAGGCATGTTTGCCAGGCTGTCCAGGTCTTCGTAGAAGGCGCCGCCGAGTATTCGGTGACGCCTCCCCATGAGTGCAGGACAGTTGCAGAGAAGGTGCTGGATGCTCTCTATTTCCTCCTCGTTCCCGCAGCTGCGGCAGAAGTCATGGTGGGGCAGTCTGTACCCGACTCTTCCTGAAGCTTAGGAGAGTCTTGGTGTGTGATTGAGTGCGCACTGATCTGGTTTAGCGCGTTAACCGTATCACGTACGAGTCTGCTTGGTCTGGTCTTGCAGGATACCAAGGCTTTGATGGCAGCCTGACTGTCGACGCAGATTGCTATGTTCCTCGGAGGTATCTCCAAGGTGTATACCAACTTAGCCGCTTGCCATACTGCAAGCCTGCAAGCTTCTCCGCCGGGAATACACTGCACCAGTCTGGTAGTCTTAGGGATGTGTTGGTTACTAGTTCCTCAGAGAAGATTCCAGCTCCTGTCCCTTCGGCCGTCTTAGACCCGTCGGTGAAAATGGAGAGCTCGTTCTGCCCCAGGGCCTGTTACTCTTCCATTTCTCCCTGTCCGGTATGAGTCCTTTGAAGTTTTTTTTCCATGAGAACTCTGAAACACTCCCCCCGACCGTTCCACCTTCCTCCTTACGGAGTATAGTGGCGTGACCATAAGGCGATGGCTTGAAGAACTGCGCGGCTAGTAGCCCAGCTGCACTTATCTCAGAGATGGAGGTCTATCGGTTCCAGGCCTAGCATGGTGTCCAGAGCTGCCTGTGGGGTGGATTTGAGAGATCCGGTGACCCCAAGGCATGCTGTCCGTTCGACTCTACGGAGGTTCTCCTGGTGGGATTTGGTGTTAACCGCTTCCCACCATACCATGCCTCCGTATGTCAGGATGGGTCTTATTACCGTATACATCCAGTGCACTATGGGAAATTTGACCACTTTTTCTGGCCAAAATTAATAACTCAAGAACGGAGCAAGATATTTCGCTTCTGTTTTTTGCATCGGGTTAAATGAACCAACATCTATTGGAAATAGAAAAATAGAGGGCGTGGCACCGCCCCCTTTTTTTTAAACTCATTTAAATTTTCTCATTTTTTTAGAGTACTACTTTAACAAGTAACAACCATTTTTGTGACAGCATTAGGTTATAATTATTGGACAATAGTGGGCGTGGCATGCCTTTAACAAGGGGAAATGTTTTAGCGCATTCATCTTGTAGCCCTGTAATGAAAGACAATTAATAATGTTCTGTAAGAAATATATTTTCCTTACACACCCCTTAGACCTGCTCTTCGTTTTCCAATTCAATATTGTATTGATGTTCTAAGTCTAATTCATTAAAAGGGCTTTCATCCTCACGATCCGTATCATCCGGATTTGATGAGCATTCTAATAGGTTTAAAACCTCTAATGGAAGACACATTCTCCTCTCTCGCTGAATACGTCTATCCAAATTCACTGAAGAAATTATCGGATCAGAAGGATCTATAGCTCGCAGAAACACGTCTGTTAGGATTTCAATCCTACCGCATTTTCTGGCATGATCAGACGAACAGATTTCTTAAATTTATTTCGAGATTCAGCTCCTTCTCCGAAATATCCAATAGGAGGCACAGAATTTTCAATGATATCCCTTGCTTGAATTAAAATTGTATGAACACTTGTGGTCATTGGCAGCCAAGGGTATTTATCAATGATTATCTCGGCAGTACGATAACAAAAAGCTTGAAATTTTGAAACAGAAATTGGCAGCTGGCATGAAAGGCATATCAAAATCGTATGTAAATTTGCAATTAGCTGCTCATCGATACCAGTGATGTTGGAAAAAGCATGAGGATCGGAAAATGCTCGCTGAGCAGTGTTACTATCGTTGGTACTGCCAAATCCTCCAACTTTCGGTTGATCAACTTTAAACGAAAGGTGTTCCCAAAATAGGCCTTGGACTTCATCTTTTCGCTAAAGAACCTCTTTCTTATCAACACAGCATCCTCCTTTGCGACTTTTCCCCTTGATTCCCCACACTTGACAAAAAAATCTGAGTTTGCCAAATTGAGGTTATGTCCTAAAAATTGAAATTTCTCGCAAAATCGTAAAAAGTGTTATTTTTAATTACATTCATTTGAACAAGAACTTAATACTCTACAACATAAAATACATCTTGTTGATGGACTCTGCTGGACTCACTTTAAATCCCTTTTGCAAGATGAGACTATATCAAAAATATGCATTTACAAGGCTACTTACATTTTGGCTCTATTAAGGGGACAACACGATTTTTTTCTACATGAGAAGTTCACAAACACATAATAAAAACCGCACTGATTGGAATTCATTTCAAAAATTTGAGTAATATTGTTTGGTTTTTGTTTTTTGGCCACTTAAAGTTAGCAAAAAAAAACCTAATATTGCAGAAGCATGTGCTTTGCAAATGAAACAGCTGTGTTTATCAGCTGATTCTTTCGATGTGGCGCCCTCTAACAAGATTTCTGTGATGCAACACTAAAGATTGAAGTATTGTGAATGCGTTGCACTAAAATTTGTTTTTAATATTCCGACTTTCAGAAAATGGGTTTTGGCCAGAAAAAGGGGTAAAATTTCCCATAGTGCAGTGGATGATGCGCGGCTGTAATCCCCATGTCCGTCCAAAGGTCTTCCTACAAGTGTTGAAAGCTGCCATTGCCTTTTATTTCCTTTCCTCCGTGTTTCTCTTCCAGGAGAGTTTGGAGTCAAGGATGACACAAACATTCTTGGCTTCGCTTGATAGCTCGAGTGTCGTTCCACCAATTGCTGTTAGTTTGAATCTCGGTATTTTATATCTTCGTGAGAACAGCACCAGTTATGTTTTTTGAGGATTGACCCCCAAACCGTTCTGGCCTGCCCAGCTGGCGGTGGTGCCCAGTGCGGATTCCAGAAGGTTACTGATTGTGGGCAGAAATTTACCCGTTACCAGTACTCAGGTCACCGCATAGGCCGGACCTAACCGCCCTACCCAGCGGGGGGGGGGGGAACCCCGGGGCGAACGCACGGAGGCCCGGGGACGGGAGGGGCACCAGCATGGCTGGTCGGATATCATCCGGTCCCGGTGACTTGTAGGGACTGAATGATTTAATGGCCAGGAGCAGGCCTGGTGTGGTGGGTGCCTTTGTCAGTAGACGTCGAAGCCTTGAGGCCTCAGTGGTACCATCTATGGCATCGCAGAATGCTGCCCATGACTCCCTCTTCGCCTTCCTACAGGTGTTCTTGTAGGTATTGAAGCTGCGGCGATAATCGTCCCAGCTTTCCTGTGTGTTTGTCACTTTTGCTTTGTTGAAGAGTCTCCTCGATTCCTTCCTGACTTCGCTCAGCTCCCGTGTCCACCACGAGTTGTGATTGGACTTTGGGGGTCGGCTGATCGGGCAGAATCTGAGAAACGCCTTCTGTAAAGCATTGGTGACGTTCTGCGTAGCTTCCTCTAGTGCTCCCGTGGTCCGAAAAGGAACACTCACTAGACACGTGCCAGTCATCAATGGTGAGGCCAGTGTTATATCTATAACCTCTGCACGGTTCCTGTTGCGGAAGATGGGGTCTCCCCTGTTGCACACAACAAGATTTTTGGACAGAACGTACTCGAACAGCGACTCTCCTCTCGAATTTGTGCCCGTACTTCCCCAGAGGGAGTGATGGGCATTCGCGTCACAGTCTAAGACAATGTCGAGTCCCTCCCTCCGCGCTTGGTGGATCAGGGCCCTGCCATCGTCCGAGGGTGGGTCTTCTTCTTCGAACGGCAGGTATGCAGAGGCCAGGTATAGGTTTTTCCCGTCCCCCCTTTCACATAGTGCCACCGGGAATTGCTGTACCTGGAAGAAAACAAAACATTAAGATCGTTCCGTACCACGATACAGGTTCTTGTCTTGCCCGCGGGGTGTGGCATGAGAAGGCGGTATCCGCGACCGCTCAGTCCCCGAACCCTTTCACTTACGATCCAGGGCTCTTGGATGAGGGCCACGTCTACCGCCTTCTCCTCCATAAACCGCAGCAGGTCCGCCGATGATACACTTGAGTGATGCAGATTAATCTGCACCACCTTCATGCTATTCAGCGGACCTGGGATGTCGCGGTACTGCTACCACCAGGGTGCCAATACCGAAAGATATGCGGCTGTCCGTTGCAAGGAGTTTGGCACGGCTTTCCCGACCTCGCGCTATCGCCCTTGTGATGGTCAGATGGCTCCAAGATCCGGTTCTGTGCCTTGATCAGAACTAGTGTCCTCATCCGCCTTGATCGGGGGAGAAATCCACACCTTCATAATCGTTCTCCTGGGAATCTGATCCGTGGGGACCACGCAGAGTGCCCCTCCTGGCCATAATATGTTATTCCACTTTTTAGACCCATCTGGCCAAGACCATGCCAAATGATTTTCGGCAAATATTTTCCTCGTCTGTAAATTGTTTCCTCGGAGTAAGTGAACTTTTCCGGCTATACGTCCTGGTAAGTCTGCATATTGTAGTCTGCGACGAGCTGTCGGAGATATTACATTTCCAATTTCAGCGGAAATGGCCTTGGAAGACATGAACGCATCCATTTTTGCCAGAAATAAATACATTTGTACGTTGCGGCTGTCCGTTTATTGGTGAAGATTTTTTCTTCCGTCCTCGATTTTCAGTTAGCACTTTGGATTTTAAGGCATTCTGAACAAAACAAACCGATCGTCCAAGACTTTTGGCAATATCCCAAATAAAAAATAAATAACAACAAACCTTTGTCCAAATCCTGATAAAATACTTAAAAAATTATAAATTTCACTAGTGTACTTATTATTTTGACCAGACTAAAAATGCCCATCCAGCACAAATTTCAGCTTAGAATTGAATAGGTGGGGTTCCCCAATTTCATTTTGAATTTAAATGCTTTGCAACACTGTAACCCTTCAAAATATAAACAGTTGGCAGCCATTATATCAAAAACATAAGAGATATTTAATAACAAACTAGCACAATACCTCTATACTTATTATTTTGACCAGTGTACATGATAATAAGCTATTACCTTTTATTGAAATTAAAACTCAATAGCTATTAAAAACGCTAAATATCTTAACATTTGGTGACCCCGACATGATTGTACAATAATTAATCGATCAGTGCCATCACAAACTACATTTCAACATAATAATTTACACTTAATTCGTTCGTCCGCTTTCGCTCGCCGCTCTGCTCCACTGCCATCGACCATATAACCAGTGCCATCGACCACATAGCTGTCATACAAGCAAATACACCAGTTCCCGTTTATTACGCACGTTGCGCTTTTGTTCCTCTTCCCGCTACGAACGTTTCTAGAGCTGCTGCTGCTATGGATGCTGCCAGGAAGCAAAAAAGGGTGTCTTTTCTGAGGATTAAGTCAACGAAACTATGTGAGAAAGTGAAGACATTGGCTGCCGCTTTGGAAGATGAGGCTGCGGTCTGTGATTACTACATGCTACTGGTAAAGCTGGAGCAGATCGAGAAGGCATTTAAGACATTGCACAACGAGCTTGAAGAATTGGACTGCACCGACATCCATAGTGGATTGTGCGACAGCTTTGGGACAATTGCCAGTGCTCTCAAGGCTTCCATCATGAGTGAATTTGCTAGGATTAGCGGATACATGACTCTGCATTCTACGTTTCCGGGAGCAAATGCAACTGCAGATTTTGCCGGTCCACAGCCGCCACCTCGTCGTAGGCCAGGATCATCCCTTCCTTCTATACAATTGCCAAGGTTTAGCGGAGGATATGCGGATTGGACGGACTTTTACTCGATGTTCAAGACCATTATCGACAATCATCCATACCTATCCAACATTGACAAGTTTCAGCATCTGCGATCTTGCCTGCGTGATTCGGCGTTGGAGACAGTTCGTTTGCTGGAAATCTCAGACATCAACTATAATATAGCATTGGATTTATTGAAAAAGAGGTTTAATAATCGTCGTTTAGTTTTTCATGCGCTGGGGCCTGGAGCTACAGGCTATGGAGGATGGCTTAGGCTCGATGCTGCGGGAGATTTCTGACAAGTTCAACGCTCATATTCGGGCGCTGCAGGCTTTGGGCACTCCTGAGCAGATCGCAAGATGCATCATCATGCAGGTGCTGCTTCGTAAACTTGATCCAGCGACTCAAGCCAAATGGGAGGAACGTTTAGAGCACTCGGCCTTCGTCAACCTGATTCCGCCATGGAAGAATATGGCCTCGTTTTTGAAGCAGCGATGCACGACATTTGAAACAGTGGATTTCGCTATGGAAACCGATGCGCCGAGCAGCCAGAAAACCTAACCATTCTAAATCAACACTTGTTGCCATTAACCAAAACAAGCTGCGTGCTGTGCGTGCCCACAAATCGCCATAAAGAAGCCAAGAGCTTTTCCCTGTGTAAATTGCCTTGTACCTGTGGGTGCACCAGACTCTCCTGCATTTCGGAGGCCCTGAAGCTACTGCAGCCACTGTATCTGTGCCACTTGGCACTTAGTCTCTGTCTGCGTCGTCTCAACCCATCACTGAGTCCTCTGCTTCAGCGTCTACGGCAGCTACTTATACCACTGAAGCATCTATCCCAGCATCTACCTCTTCTACTCTTATTGCCCAGGGTCTCAGTAATGATGTTGTTCTGCTAGCTACGGCAACAGTCTTGGTCAAAAATCGTTCCGGAGTTTTTATTCCCTGTCGAGCGTTGCTTGACTCTTAACTGCACTTAATTACTTCTCGCTTCGCAAATCAGCTTCGAAAAATAAAATCATCGATTTCAGTATCAGGAATAGGCGATTCTACCTTTGTGGATGGCGTTTCGTTCAACGTTAGCCTGCACTCTCGTTCATCGGAATACTCAACTCTCATCACCGCTGTCATAGCCTCTTCCATAACCGACCGACAGCCAAGCTTCGGAATAGACACTTGCAACTGGAATATTCCAGCGAACCTGCCACTAGCTGGTCCAGAGTTTTATAGTCCGCAGCGTGTCAATCTTCTATTTGGCGCCAGCTTGTTTTACGAACTCCTCTGTGTTGGTCAGGTCAAGCTATTGCCGGGATTGCCATCAATTCAGAATACTCGTTTGGGATGGGTCATATCTGAAGGTTGTTCCCGTGTAAAGCAGATGTCCTCTTTAATGGTTTCGCGCGCTCCGGCAGTAGCTGCTGAGGATAACCTAGACTAGAGACTTGAAGTACTGCTGCGACGGTTTTGGGAGGTAGAGAATTGCACTGAACCCATAGTAAATTCAACCAAAGAAGAGCTAGATTGTGAAATACAATCTGGATCTCTTGGGAGAATTGTACCATCAAGCTCTTCGTAGATTCTTATCCCTTGAACGGAAAATAGATCGCCGTCCTGATGTTAAATCTCTGTATGTTGCTTTCATAAAAGGTCTAGGTCATATGTCTTTGGTTCCTGCAGAGTCAATGAACTGCTGCAGTCAACACGGCCAAGTATAACTTCTATCGTGCTATAGGCACGTCGGTGCTTGGATTTGAGGGACTGCGTACGCTGTTATGCCACCTTATGCCTTAAAGATGCTGTTGAAAGTCAGGCTTTCAACGCGGGGAGTATGTTGGGTCGGGTCAAGCAGCATAACGCATATGCCTACGCTCGGCAGCGGCTGTTCTGCATCAGCTATGTCTCCCGCTGCTTTCGTGTTGCTGCTGCACCTGTTGTGTTTAAGCAGCTCTCTCGTTCGTCATCTACCGCTCGTGATCGGCTCAGAAACCGCGCCGCTCAAAACTGTGTCTTCGACCACAACAACGACAACAACCACTTCAATTGCTCAGCGCCCGATACTGTCGATCCACTGCGACAAGCCCCACCTCTCCCAACCAATAAGTTCGAAAAATGCCAACGGAGCGTTTATTCAGACTGGGCTCGATCGCTATGTGCTATCAAAAGAAAATTGTGCCCACAAAATGCGAAGAACAACAATGCAGCACAAATAACTAAAATAGCCGAGAATAGAGCACCCAAGGCCAACAAATTAAGACCGCCACCTATTTATGTTCGACAGGCAAATTGTGCTGAACTGGTCAAAAAAATTGGCGCAAACACATTCTATGTCACGTCCGTAAAAAGGGGTAACATAAAAGAAACAAAAATACAAGTCAATGACGAACAAAATAATCGATCAGTTGCGAAATACCTCGAATATGAAAAAATGAATTACTACACCTACCAACTTAAAGTAGCAAAGGATTACAAGAGGTTATCAAGGGAATCGAACCAACAGTCCCAATCAATGAGATAATAGATGGACTTAACGATAAGGGCTTCGAAGTCCAAGTGGCTATGGACATAATAAATAAAAATAAAATTCCCCAGCCAATGTTCAAAGTAGAACTGACACCTGAAAGTATGCATATGAGTAAAAATGAAGTTCACCCAATCTACAAGCTTAAATATCTACTGCACCGTAGGATCACCGTCCAATGCACAAATTCCCAGGAATATGGACACACGAAAACGTATTGCACTCTACGGGCAGTCTGCGTTGCCTGTGGTGATGTTCATCTCTATGAGGCCTGTCCCATAAATAAGGAGGACCCATCTGCTTAAAAATGTAGCAACTGTGGGTGAAAGCATACTGACAACTATAGAGGTCTTGTCTATAAAGAATTGAAAAATCGCCTAAACCAACAAATAACTGCAGCTCGAGACCCGGTCGTCCGACAAAACTTACCATATATACCATCAACTACGACTCCAGCAGTTTCTTTTGCTCAGGCGTTAAGTTACAACAACGGGTCGTACGCCTCAGTCTCTAAGCCGACACTTCAACCAACCAAAGCAGGAATAATGCAGCATCAGGCATCAAATCAGATCCCAGAAATCTCTGCCCAACATACCTCTGCAAATCCATTCCCATTGCCTAGTGGAATTGAGTCAATGCTGGTAGCTATAACAAACACAATGGTAGCAATACAACAAACGATGCAGGAGCATCGCAACCAAAATTTCCTCCTGGAGCTCCTAATCAAACAGAAATCTGTTTAAATGGCTTCTCTATATATTTTTGTTTTTGGAATGCAAATGTCATTTCGCAGCACAAATGCGAGCTCTTACAGTTCCTCGCTCAACACGACATTGACGCCATGCTCATAACAGAGACTCACCTAATAAATAAAAACTATTTTCACCTCGATGGCTATAACTTCTATGCGACAAATCATCCCGATGGTAAGGCACATGGAGGTACTGGCGTTCTGATCAAGCATCGCATCAGGCATTATCCACTGCATTCATTTGCTACACCTTATCTACAGGCAACATCAATTCATATTGAGATTCAGAGCGGCTACCTAAACCTAGCTGCAGTATACTGCCCACCGCGCTTCTGCAATTCCGAAACAGAATTTATAATTTTCTTCGACCTACTAGGTGGATTTATAGCAGCTGGTGACTACAATGCCAAGCACACCCATTGGGGATCTAGACTTACCAACCCGAAAGGAAGACAACTGTATAACGCTATAATAACGCCAAAAAACAAGCTAGACTTTATCTCTCCGCGCAAGCCTACATATTGGCCCACAGATCCAAACAAGCAACCCGACTTGATTGATTTTGCAGTTACACGAAGGGTGCTGCAAGTTCAGATTCATGTAGATCACTTAACAGATCTATCATCGGATCACTCGCCCATTCTACTTCACCTTTACGACCATCCATAGCTTACGGAACGCCCACACATTCTAACCTTTAGCAAAACAGATTGGCTCAAATATAGGAAGTACATAAGTTCTCACATTGATAGCTGCCCAAACATTTATTGTAAAGATGATATTGATAGGTCAGTCGAAATATTAGTATCCTCAATGTCACTGGCGGCAAAACACTCAACACCTATATTAGCACCTAATAAACTTTCCAACAGCAGTCGTATTTCTTAGCACATTGAAGTGCTGCTACGCGATTAAAGAAGGCTTCGCCGAGAGTGGCAAGCACACAGATCACCTGTCTCGAAAGAGCGGCTAAAAATAGCCAACCACCTACTACGCAGAGCCCTAGAAAATGAAAAAAAACCGAGCTCAAATATCCTATATGAAGCAACTCTCCCCAACTAGGAAACGATTCCCACTGTGGAAAGCTAAATCGGGCGTTTGCCCACCAATCGAGAGTGAATCACCTTTGCGTACACAAACAGGAGAGTGGGCTCGCAGCAACAAAGAGACGGCAAATACATTTGCCGTCCATCTAGAAAACGTCTTCAAACCACACCCAGCAACAAATAGCTTTGTGCTCCCACCAACCAAAAATCCCGAAGCTACTCCGCCTATCATATTCCAATGAGGAGAAGTCACAAGGGTCATTAAAGACCAAATCTCAAAGCAAAAGAAAGCTCCGGGCCACGATTTTATCTCCCCTAAAATGATCATAGAATTGCCGAGCTGTGCAGTGTATTTCCTTACTGTGATATTCAACAGCATGATGAAATGGGGCTACTATCCTCAAGAATGGAGGAAATCAGTCATCAAAATGATCCATAAAGCCGGAAAAGACAAGTCCAAGCCATCTTCAGATAGACCTATCAGCCTACTGCCTTGCCTGTCAAAGATATTTGAAAAGCTGCTCCTGAATCGTATCAAACAATACCGACACATCAATGGTGCCATCCCGACTCACCAATTTGGATTTCGCGAAAAACACGGAACTATTCAACATGTAAACCGTATAACCTCTGAGATACGAAATGCATTTGAAAGGCGGGAGTATTGCTCCGCTGTTTTTCTGGATGTCGCCCAGGCTTTCGACCGCGTTTGGTTAGATGGCTTAATCCACAAAATCAAAATATTACTTACACAGAACATCCATGCAAAGATTGCCTCTCTGAATATCATCCAATTGAAACTGGTGTACCGCAAGGCAGCGTGCTTGGACCGACACTGTATATCATATTCACAGCAGATCTACCGACAAACAGTCGAACAACAACTTCGACATTTGCTGATGATACTACCATACTAAGTCGCTCCAAGTGCCCAAGAAGGGCCACGGATCACTTATCATCTCATCTGGTGGCCTTAGAAAAATGGCTAGCAGACTGGAGGATACATGTAAATGAGCAAAAGTGCAAGCATGTATCCTTTACGTTAAACAGACAAACTTGCCCTCCAGTGTATCTGAACAACATCAACATTCCACAAACCACCGAAGTAACATACCTTGGTGTTCATCTGGATAGAAGGCTTACTTGGCGTAAACACGTCGAAGCGACAAGAAATCTACTTAAATTTAAAGCTAGTAATCTACATTGGCTAATAAACACCCGTTCACCACTAAAACTGGAGTACAAAGTACTGTTGTACAATGCAGATCTCAAACCCATCTGGACATACGGCTCCGAGCTATGGGGAAATGCTTGCGTCAGATATTTAGAAATAATCCAGAGAGATCAATCGAAGATACTAAGAACTATCACTGGGGCACCATGGTACATACGGAATGAAAATATCCATAAAGTCTTAAATGTAGGATCAGTTAAAGATGAAATTGCCAAAGTGAAAGCAAAGTATCAGGCCAAGCTTCAAGCCCATCCTAATAGACTTGCGCAGTCTTTAACTTGGCACACTAGCCATACACGACTCTGGCAAAGAGACCTCCCCACCTAGCAATAATACTTCGCTAGGGACGTACTCCAAGTAATTAAGTGTAATTAATTAAATAAATATATTAGGTTAAGATTTGCATACTTGTCGTCAGTCTCTAATTGGGAAGATTCGATAAATAAAATATCGTGATAATAAAAAAATAAAACTCGGAGAAAAAATTATGAAAGGGCCCAAAACGTTGGGTAAACGGTGATTTTAGGAGTTTTGGTCAACCAATTGTAGCTTAGCCGTTTCTCCATTGATTTTTATAAACAATACTTTAAACGACGCCTATTGCACCTAAACACAAAAAATATAAGATACTTAAGTTATTTGAAAAAATAGGCGCTGCCGCTGAAAAATCATAAAAAACAATAAAATATTTGATAATTCCTTAAAAAAAGTTCTGCCATAATCTCAATATAGAATTTCAAAACCTCAAATCTATCAGAAAATGTCAGTCCGATTGTTAGTCTTACTTAATCATTAATACATTTTTTTTTTATTAACATTTAACGAAAATATTATTATTGTGAAATAAATGAAAAGGGATTATATTATAATTTTATAAAATTATTTACCAATTTTTTACTTGGCACCGTGATCATAGACTAAATTTTGGTATTCTTCTTATGGACTTTCTGGTTGAATCAATAAAGCTTATAACTCTCTTGTTCATATGTTTTAAAACCCTCTTCAGGTATGTATTACATACTATGTAACACTCATGCTCATTTGTAGCAGCGAGCAATTCAAAAAGAACACGATCTGTTGTTTCCTATATTTGCAACCGATAACACTATACAACAGCCAATAAAATACTGTCATAGTTATTATTCGAAAAGCAGAAAAAATAATGCTGAAGCATTTATCAGAAGAAAAATTTTCAAAATAATACAGACGTTGCTGATCTGTATATTGTGACATGGTTTGTTGACAGAAATTGTTGATTGTTGGCCCGAGCATACAATATGTATGAGTTCCTACATAAATAATCTATCCAGAGTCCCAATATTACTGGCCTGGTAGTTCAAAAAACTAAATAACCTTTTAATCATTCATTACGAGAACGTACGCAGTCTGTTAGGCAAATTGTGTCAAATACATACGAATAGTGCCTCTTTTGACTTTGACGCTGTCGTTTTAACTGAAACCTGGCTTAACTCTTCCTACTACGATCATGAAATTTTCGTTACAAAATTTATCATTTATAGAATGGACCGTCACTCTTTTGCTTTCTGATTGCTGTTTAAACGGATTTCTCATCTGAGTTGTTCCCATTCAACAATATCTATGGCATTGAATTCATTGCAGTCAAAGTTTGTGTTGGATCGGTATCGATTTAGTTGACTTGCTCTTACATTCTTCCCAAATCAGATGCTGATGTTTACTCATATCACCTTTCTGTAATTCAGACTATTGTATCTACTTTA